TACCCCCAGCACCATGCTCACTGCAGGCGCATCTCGCAAGAACAAGTTTTTATTCCCCTCATATCAACCAGAGCCCTCCTCCCCCCTCAGTCCTCAACAAACAGCCCCTCTTCCACCCACCCCACCCAACAATAAACAATCTTCTTCATGAAAACTATGTATAATATCCTTTGTGTGCTGTTTTGAGGTGGGGGGGTTATGGGGTAGGTGCACCAAGGGGGCTCACCTAGGGGTGACAGCAGCCGGTGCTCCCCTGGAGTGGGCAGCTCTCCCTCTTGCATCCACTGTCCATGGCCAGCAGGGCTGGTATGCTGTCCTAGCCGTATGGCAGGCAGTTCTGCGCCTGCGTGGAGCCAGGGTGAAGCAATGGGCTCTGGAAGCCCCACTATTTGCTGCTGACTGATGGGGAGGCAAAAATGGCACCATGTTTAAAACTGTGGTTTTCACTTCCCTGCCAATCAGGAGCAAGCCACAAGTGGGGCCCCTCCACCAATCAGCTTGTGTGGGGGCACGCGGGGGAATCTGCAAGATTAAAGGAGCCAGAACACAGCACACTTCTGCGATGAATTTGGTAGGGCCCTACATATCAGTAAGACCCACTTGGATGTTCTCTGCTGTGCTTGGAGATCTGTTGGTTGTCCAAGGAACTTTCACTGAATACAGCATGGGATGCTGAACTTTCCTCCTGAGTATTCATAAATTGCTTAAGTAGACATTAACAAAATCAAATAAGATTCTAAATGTTAGGTATTGACACATTTTCTTTCCCTCTCAATTACTGTGGTTTCACTTTCCTGCTAGTTCTCGTGTCATCAGTATGGTTTCCTGCGATAAAAAAACCCAACTGAATAGACTAGACCTCAATTTTTAATCCACATACCAAAAAAACCAGCAGAACTACAGAATTGATTTAACAACAGCATTACAATTCATTATATATGCGCATATGTTTAGTCAAAAAGGCATAAATCTTTTCTCCTTTTCTTTGTGTCAGCCTTAATGTTGCAGTACAGGGTTTCTATTCCAGGCCCCTGAAGTGTCTACCCTTTTAGGTGAAAAATATATCATGCTTTATCTTATCCCAAAGGTAAATTTTTCAGAAAAGTCTTAACATGTACACTGAAGTCATCTTTGAGCATAAGAAGAGTGAAAAGAATGCCTTTCTCATTATAAAACATCTTCTCACACATGCTGTCGAATAGTCTGACAGCTGAAATAATAAGCTTTGAAAGGAGGCTTGAAAATAGCTTTCATTGAGGAGTATTCCTTGGCCTTGTTCTAGATGTCTTATGTTTTATCTGGCCAAGTCAGGACTATTTAAAAATTACATGCTGAGTATACCAGAATATCATTCTCCTTAAGTGTACACCTAAGGAACAATTTTGAGTTCAGCTCTGCGCAACTTTTAAGAGTATAGAAAAATGCTTAGGAATTATTACAGTTTAAATGCATTCACACCACTATTTTCAGTGTGAGCTGGTTTAAGTGAGGATGGTTCTTCAGAGCTGCCCAAGGTCTGTCTAAGCAGACCTTCCCTGTGGCATAGAAGGGAGCTTCAGTCTGGTGCACCACAGGAGTTACTCAAGTGCGGTCAGGTCCATGGAGTTTATGAATCAGGAACATTTCAAAGTTTTTCTCATCATTAAGGCAAAACAGCAATAAACAGATGTAGCATTTTGTTTGCCCTCCACTATCATTTAAAGATGCAGAGAATAAAAGCATCCCCTTACTGCTCTGTTTTAGAATTCTTTTCTCTTTAATCTGATCTCATTATGCAGGGACGTACTGTCCATTATCAATGCATGCCTCAACCAGATGGTGTCTCCAGAGTATTCCCTTGAAGAGGGCCATCTGGCTGAGACTCTGGTCATAATGGACAATGTATGTCTATGTAATGAGAGAAGATTAAAGAAAAACAGAATGCAGTGAAGGAGTGCCATCCTCATGTTATTCTTTAAGATCTGAAGGACAGAATGAAGGGAATGCTGGAATGGCTCTTGGGATTGCTGTACAAAGTTTTTTGTACCTGATAGTTGGTTGCAGGGTCCAAGCTAGCCCAGGTTGTTGGTAGCTAGAAGATGCTGCTATCTCACTTCTGTCTGCTCTCTCTATAAAATCTTGGTTGGGGGCTTATTCTTATTCCCAGTGAAACAAAGAGTTTGGTAACATTGCTTTTCACAGCATGGCACAGCTAAGCAGGGTGGGATTTACTTTGAGTGTGGATACAAAACTAAAGGAAGGCTCATGTAACACAAGAAGTAAGGATGGCAATTCAGGAAGTATCTTGTTTACCTTTTACCATATTTACCTGAATCCAAGATGACTTTGAATTTAAGATGACCCCCCCAGTTAGTTTCTATATATGGAGAATTTCTAAATTTGTTGTAATTTTCCAGATATAGAATCTAATTATTGGAAGGTTTTCTTATATTTGTACCCTCTACCACTGCAGTGCAGCAAGCAGTGACAGGGGGACGGGTGGTGGGGGAGTCAAATTGCCTGACCCTTGCCCTCTCTCTTGCCCCCTGCCCTCCTCGTGACTTGCCCCGCTTACTTCCTGCCCCGCCCTTGGTGCCTATGGTACCTCCCCCGCACAAATGGTGCCTGCATCCTCTAGCACCTGCCCCCTCCCGCAGTCCCCCCACACTGCATGCCGCCCTCACAGTGCCTACAGCTCACCGTGTACCTAGCCCCCTACCACTTGCCCTCCTGCTGCCTACCCTCTCGCACTTGCTTCCCTCCTCCCACCTAGTCCTTGCTACCTGGAGCAGGCTGTGCTTAGATACTTTGGTAATCTACTGTCAGTCATTTCATTTTTTGCCTCAAAACCAGATTGTCTCTTAGCCACATTGTCTACTGTCGGTAGACTGCCATTGCTCTCCTTACTTTTACTTTCTTCTAACCCAGGGAAGAGTTGCCCACTACTATTTGCCACAGGAACGTGGCAGGGAGGAAGGAAGGTGTTTCATTTTGACTTTGGTCTTGAAAATTTTAGAATTGTTGTGAATGCATGCT